ATCTTGTCATGCCAAGGACATTTGAGGTGGATGCTTCCCCAAGAAGAATAGATTGTCTTCACCAGGAGAAGGACCCAGGGCTCAGCATCAACCTCCCCATCCCCATTCCATTATGGTTTCTGTCCTTGTTTTCTCTGGGGTTTCCCTTATCCAGGTGTATGCTTCGTGTGTCTGCCTGAGCGGCTCTCCTTCCTCCCGCTTCCTTCCGTCCACTCCTGCTCCTAGTGTTTCTCTGGGCAGAGTCTCCCTCTCTCCCTGTCCCTCTCTCAGTGGGCTGACTGGTTTTGACCAGTCTCATGGTTTACCTTTCTATATTTTCTGTCTTCTGTTCCAGGACAATTTTCCTATATTTTCATCTGTCTGGAGACTTTATGTGTGTTGGTATCTGACAGACACATTCCTCTTCCCTGGGTTGCACAAGAGTGATGAATCTATAGGATTTATGTGTAGGGAAGGTGATAGGGAAAACCTGAAACCAAAATGAGTCTGAAAGAAAGATGTTTTTGGGGCAAATGGCATTGAGCTGTCTTTTCTCCTCCAACCCTCATGTCTCCCTGGGTGTCTTTTTCAGCCACACACTGGTGCTGATGGAGGGGACTCAGTTGGTCCTTGCAGGACGGTCTCTGATTCCTTGGCTTGTGCTAGTGATGGGGTTGGTCTTTGGCTCCGTTCTGAGGCTGTGCCCTTGTGCATTGCAGGCCCTGAAAACCAGAATCAGCAATCTCCCCACCGTGAAGAAGTTTCTGCAGCCTGGCAGTCCAAGGAAGCCTCCCATCAATGAGAAAAGTTTAGAACAAGCCAAAAAGATTTTCAGGATTAAATGAAGCAGGAATGGATGCCCAGCAGAAGCAGAACAAATCTGCTGAGGTTTTCCAGCAATGAAGTGTGTTACCCAAATGTAGATCCTGGCTATCGTGCGGCTAGGAAACTTTTGGAAAAGTTTAAGTGCTAATTTCATTAGGAATTATGCAGATTTAGTTGCAAAGCAGTTTATTTTGTTTTGACCAAATATCAAATCATGATCACCTCCTAGGATGTCTCTTGGCCTTAAAAATAAAGGGAGAAAAATTTCATGGATTCTTTCTTTGATCTATTAAAAAATTGTCATTACAGCTATCATGTACCTTGTCAAAAAGAGTGAAGTAGAAATTTTCATGTGGCATTTTACTAACACAAAAATAGTCTTTTTCTTTTGTATTTTGCTATATTTCTGATCTGCAACCTAAAGGATTCTGTCTTCCTTCCTTCCTTTCTTTCTTTCTTCCTTCTTTTCCTTCCTTCCTTCTCTCTTTTTCTTTTTTGAATCAGAACCATTTTCCTTCAGGAAATCTTTTTTTTTTTTCCTGTTCACTTATGGAACTTATATTTCTTTTATGTGGAATATAGAATGTTCCATATTCCGGGAGGTGGGTTAATAATGATAAATAAGCCAGAAACAGTCTTTGCCCATTGGGGGGTTACTGTAGTGATAAAAACAACAACAAAAAACCCCAGGTAATTCTAATCCCAAATCATGTATACCTTGTACATCATGTTCTAGGGCTACTATAACAAATGACCACAAATTTGATGGGTAAAAACCGTAAAATATATTCCCTCACAGTTCTGGAGTCTCTTTGTGTGAAATGAAGGTATGAGCAGGGCCATGCTTTTTCTGAAGGCAGTAGGGAAGGATCCTTCCTTGACTCGTCTTAGCTTCTGATGGTTGCTGGCAGTGCTTGGCATTTCTCGGCTTGTAGATGCCTAACTCCAGTCTCTGCCTCTGTTTACACATGGCATACACATGTGTGTGTGTGTGTATCCAAATTTCCCTCTTTTTCGAGGAACACCAGTAATCAAATCTGGGCCCACCCTAGCCCAGTATGACCTCATCTTAACTTGACTACAACTGCAAAGACCCCATTTCTAGATAAAGTCACATTCACAAGTACCCAGGGTTAAGACTACAACCTGTCCTTTCTGGGGGACACCCTTTACTCTATAACCTCACACTAGGGCACAAGATCATGCTGAGCATCAATCCAGTCAGGACACCTTGGCTTGAATCTGTGAGTCCTTCATGGTCTGTCATGAGGGGGCAGTTTGGATTTTGTTCCAAGGAAAATAGGGTGCTGCTGAGGTGCAGCCATATAGCCTGCTTTCCCAGCCTGGTGTGCATATAATAAAATCACATCTTTTAAGTATTCATTTTAAGTCACTCAAGCATCCATCTTGGAACAGCAAGAAGATTCTTCCCCCACTGTCTTTTTTGCAATGGTAAACCCAACAACCGAGGGGCTTACTCCATTCAAGGAGTCAGGTAGACTTGACACTGACCAAAAATCCCAGAAGTCCCCTGCTGCAGTACCTATTCTTTGCTGCCACTTCTGCCACATGGAGTTCCTGTGTCCCACACACTGCCTGATCTGAGACACTTTGGTTGAAACCCTGGCTACCATTCATCCACCTGGGCAGCAGCATCCTCTTGCTCTGTAGCTTCAGAGAGAAGGAAGTGGAGGTCTCCCTCCCTGCTGTCACCCAGGCCTGGGATCTCAAACTGTACATGAAGAGATAGAGTCCTTTTCCCCCTGGCATGTTGCTCTGCAGGAGAGGCCGGGATGATGAGTGGTGTCTAGCTTCAGCTATCTACTGAGGCTATAACTTGGGCTCCCCCAAGAAATGTAGGATCTAGGGGGCTGAGCCCATGGCCCTAGCCCTGACTGCCCATTTTCATAGTGTGAACTTCCACACACTGGCATAGGGTGGGGCAGACACATACACGGGGCACATGGCTTGTGTCCTTTACGTCTACTCAGTGTTTGGTCAATTCAGCCCAAGCAAGATGTGCCAAGTTGTCCTCCCAGGAGGCTCCCATTTCTCTTTGCATTTACCTGTTCTCTGTCCAGCTCTGGACTCCTCAAGGTGTTTGTGAGGAGGAGGGGCCTTTGTTATCTATCCTTCCAACAATATATTTTTACACCTTTGCTCCAGAACAGAAGTTCTCAGCCTCGTCACATCTAGCCTTCCTCAATTTATAACATATTTTATAATCCCTTTTAATAACCTTTTAAAAAATTATTTATTTATTTATTTGAGAGAGAGAGAACAAGCAGGGGAAGGGGCAGATGGAGAGGGAGAAGCAGACTCCCCGCTGAGCAGGGAGCCTGATGTGGGGTCAATCCCAGGACTCTGGGATCATGACCTGAGCAGAAGGCGGACGTTTAACCAACTGAGCCACCCAAGCACCCCCTTTATAATGATCTTGAAGTGAACTAAGATTTACCTCATTATGGCTGGTGGTCTGAGTACCTGAAGAATACGATACCACCTCATCTCAAAAAGGGTGGCTGAGGAGAGGTAGTGAAATGCCTATCAACGAAGCGGGAGTAGCGTTAAGATACCTCAAGGGATGGTGATGCACTTGGGGCTAGCCACGATGGAAGGCTTCCACCTCCCCTACTCTCAATGGGACAAGAGCAGAAAGCAGTAGAGGGACCTAGGAATGTGCCGAGAGTCATGGGTGCAGGAAAGGGCCA